ACATAGGAAGGTTGTATTTATAATCAAGTTCTAAATACAATGAGGTTCCAACTGTAATATTTATTGTTTATCTATTATTGGCTGGTAATTCCTGTTTCTCCCTGTACATTAGCTTTTTAAAGGAACACCAAATTTCTGTACGAAAGCTAACTTCAAGGGGTAATGATAATATCATTTACATTAGAATTATTTTTTAAAATTACTACTTGTTATTAATAATGCTTATAAAAGCAGATACTCCATTTGAAACTATGTGAAATTGGTTGACACCATTGTTTTGGTTTTGGAGTTATGTAACAAAAAAAGAAGCAGAAGAAAGAAGAACAAGAAATTCAAACTTTTCGCTATGACATTTACAGACATTCCCAGAGCTTGTGACTCAGTCATTACATAGATATTGTTATAAAAGGAAACACTGTATAATATTGTACAGTTCTGATGAAGTGATATTTAAAATGCCATTTCGATGAACAATCCAAGGCATCCATACATAGGCAGTGCTGCCACCTGTTTGATGCCATTTTCTCTGGTGTTACAGGTGGAAATATTCTCTCCTATTTGAGTTATAAATTCTAATATTATTATTGTGTTTTGTATAACAATAATTAAATAAGGGAAACCATTTTATCCCCACTATCCACGGGGACATATAAGGGGGACAACATTTTTTCCAAGTGGTTCAGTTCTTAGAACTCCAACATTTAAGCCGTAGCATAAACATTGATCACATTCAATCATTTAAATAAATTACCATACATATCTTATATACCAAAACATGTGATCAGACTACATGTGCTGTCTTGGTAGTAAACAAAGAGCATGATTGGTTAATTGTTGTCGTCATTACATGAGGTGTGAGAAAACAGTGGGGAGACGCCGTCTTTTGCAAGCAGGAGGATAGTAGAAGATGAAGTCGAGGTCATCGTATGTCTCCTGCTAAGCCTTCTTTGTGAATATCTAATCATAGGGTTGCCTGAACAGGACTGGCCAATATAAACTGTTTTTGAGGTTTTTACAGGGTGTTTAGGTTAATTCAGAAGGGTCCTTTTTCACAGTTAAAGCAGTCAAACATATGGCAGGAAAGTAACTGTTTTCTAGAAGTAAGTTGAAACACCCAGATGAACTTTCTTGCCTTTAATTGTATTTGAAAAACAAATTACAATATTTCTAAGCACCATTTTTTAAATAATAAAATGTATGCATTGTTTTACTACATTTTATAAATGAAAATCATTTAACATTATTTTGAATACAGTTGGTTGTAGTTGGTTACTTGAATCATGAAACAGAAATAAGCTAAATTGATTGTTCAGAATCGGTGTTTCGATGGGTGGATTGACGTAATACACTTAAGAGTTGTAAAAAATACAGAGATTTTCTGTGTTAAATACTTTTTTTTCAATTATTAGCATTTGCCCATCTTACTGGAGCCTTCATCGGGTAAAAATATAATGGTATTATACAGTACACTGTTGCCCAATAAAGGCTCCAATACAGTGGCATGCAGAGGTTCTATGATGCCCGGGGCCCCGGCACCTTTCGCTCCCCCCCCCCCCTCTGCACGCTACTGTTCCAATAAAAGAGGTGGAAGCTAGCATTTAAAATAAAAGTATGTAAGTGTAGTGAACAGTTCATATATTTTAATTTACCTAAGTTATGAGTTCTAAAAAATGCACTTAAGAGTTATTATTGTTTAAACTTTGCACTGGTAACTTTATATTATTGTTCTTTGTTTTCTTTCAAGGCTATTTCAACGTGTGCACTGTTCTTGGCTGCAAAAGTTGAAGAACAACCCAGGAAGCTTGAACATGTGATAAATGTTGCTCATAGATGTCTTCATCGAGATGCTCCTGCACTTGACATCAAGAGTGAAGTAAGACGGCTAAAGCTGTTTGTATTTGCTGTGTTTTATCAACCGAATTACTTTGTTAAATTAAATAGAGTATATTGGTTATTTGAAACTGTATATATATGTTTTGGAATCTATTACCTTTTCAAAGAAAGGCTATGTCACAAAGGTACCCAGTACATATTGAACACAACATGTATTTCTTTTATTTACTCTCAGCTAATGTAAACCTTATATTCCTAAACTATATTGAAAAAAATTAGCATCTGGGCAAAAAGTTCTAATTTTGTCACAGCCAAGAATGCATGTACGTTACCCTCTACAGCACCGCCATTCAAGTTGGGCCTTCAAATTTCTCACAATATACCAGATTAAAGTTCCACATAAGTATTGAAACATTTTGATTATGTATTTAAAATAAATTTGATTCTGGGAAGTTTAAAAAGGTAGTAGTGAAAGAGTTAAATATGATACGACAAATCTTTAAGAAAATTCTCTTCTCTGATTTAAAAGTCCATAGGTAAATATTCCTCCAAAAAATCACAGGTTTTTCGCGTGACCCCAATCAAGGGTAGTTATAAAATTCTTCCCTAATTTTGTTCCTCATTTAACTGGTTTACAACAGTGCCGTAGCTTCAACAACAACAATAAATAGTTGATGTAAAATGTCTTTACCCATTTATTCTTTTTCCTTTCTTTGCTTTTCTTTCTCATTTTTTTTCACAACTTTTTCCAATAACCTAAAATTATTCCTGCATTTCACAGTATCAGTATTCCCTTACCTCTTGGATATTTATTTGGACAAACATTTACCCTTTTTGGAACACAAGATCCTTAGACCAGTTAATTTTAAATGTGGGTTTTCAGAAAAGTCTTCTGTCTTAAAAGCTAATTTTTGATTGGGTCATTCTGCCCTTTGGTCAAATCTCGATCAATAATGCATAACATTACATTAAATTTTCCATGTTTTTAAAATCATACACTTGAAACTTTATGAAAAGATAACCGATGAATTTTTTCTACTAATATTGTAACTTGCCTGGATCGTAATATATTTTAAACCATTATGTATAAAGGTGATAAGTTCAGGCTTTGAAAGCCTCGATTCAGACTTGTTCTGTGATCATTGTTTTGAAAGAGATAAAAATTTGTTTTAAAATCTGCCTTATCTTGTGGTGCATGCAATTATGGAGGGATAAATATAATAGTTGATTTTTGATATTGTTTATTGGTGAGATATACTTTGATAAGCCTATTCCTTCTGTAATCTTGTTTTTTCTTAATTTCACAACCACTTACTGAAACTGTATCTTCCGTGCTTTCATAAAACCTATACTAAATTATTTCCTTTATCTTCTTGTCATCATGTGATCTTCTTGTTTTATAAAATATAGTAAGAACAGTTGTTGTTATTGGTGAAGTCCATTTTTAACTTTAGAAATTACAGCCACTTTGCCACCAAAATTTCTAGTGATTTCTAGTTAATGTAATGACCTAAACATATTTTTAAGCTACTCATTTTAACAGATATTGCATTACAATTATTTTTTAATTAATTTGTAAATTTTCATTAATTTTTTCGCTTCTCACATCATACAAAGCTTCAATAATGAAAGACGCGTACTAGATAGTCGAGAAACCCCAGAGTAATTCATTGTTAAAGCATTTTTGTAATCAGAATTTTGTGACAGTAACATTCAACTTAGCAGTAATCATTAGTGATTATTTTGTTTCTTTTAATAAAATTGAAATTAATTCTTTTTGTTTTTATGTTGCTAATAAAATAATTATTATAACAAACAACTTTTATCTCCTCTGTTCCATTGTTTTTTATCAAATGATTAGTGAGGAGGAAACATTTTGTAATCATTATTGTCTTGATTAAATTAATGCCTGTCAATTTTTTTTATTTGCATAATGTTTTTCAATAAGATTAGTTTAACTTCATTCACACATGATTTTATTTTATTTTGACTTTGCAAAATATACTTACTTCTGTTTAGGCCTACATGGAACAAGCATATGAAATAGTTGTGAATGAAAACATCATGTTACAAACATTAGGTAAGTAGTAATAAATTACTTAATATGTCGTATTTTAGTAACTGTATATTTTTCTTAGTTTATGTGTATGAAATACATTTTTAGAACTAATTTCATCAAGAAATGGAAATAGTGTTCTTTGTGCTAAAGTAAATAATGTCTGCCATAGGTTATTTATGGAGAAGA